GAGGGGACGGCAGGGGGGGCACCACCCGGGGGGTGCAGCAGCGCGAAGCCAGGGGGGCCGCGGGCAGCGTCGGGGGGTGGCGTCAGGCATCACTTGGCACCCTGTGCCTCCGACTCCTCCTCGTCGTCCTCATACATCTCACCCTCCTCCTCAGCTGTGGCATCCTGGTACTGCTGGTACTCAGACACCAGGTCATTCATGTTGCTCTCGGCCTCGGTGAACTCCATCTCATCCATGCCCTCACCTGTGTACCAGTGTAGGAAGGCTTTGCGGCGGAACATGGCTGTGAACTGCTCTGAGATGCGCTTGAACAGCTCCTGGATGGCTGTGCTGTTCCCGATGAAGGTGGAGGACATCTTCAGCCCCCGTGGTGGGATGTCGCACACAGCCACCTTGACATTGTTGGGGATCCACTCTACAAAGTAGGAGCTGTTCTTGCTCTGGATGGCCAACATCTGCTCGTCCACCTCCTTCATGGACATGCGGCCACGGAAGACAGTGGCCACGGTGAGGTAGCGGCCATGGCGGGGGTCGCAGGCAGCCATCATGTTCTTGGCATCGAACATCTGCTGGGTGAGCTCGGGCACGGTGAGGGCACGGTACTGCTGGCTGCCGCGTGCTGTCAGAGGGGCAAAGCCCGGCATGAAGAAGTGGAGACGCGGGAAGGGCACCATGTTGACAGCCAGCTTGCGGAGGTCAGCGTTGAGCTGGCCAGGGAAGCGCAGGGAGGTGGTGACACCGCTCATGGTAGCTGAAACGAGGTGGTTTAGGTCACCATAGGTGGGGGTGGCCAGTTTGAGGGTGCGGAAGCAGATGTCGTAGAGCGCCTCATTGTCGATGCAGTAGGTCTCATCCGTGTTCTCCACCAGCTGGTGGATGGAGAGCGTGGCATTGTAGGGCTCCACCACCGTGTCCGACACCTTGGGGGACGGCACCACGCTGAAGGTGTTCATGATGCGGTCGGGGTACTCCTCCCGCACCTTGCTGATGAGCAGGGTGCCCATGCCCGAGCCTGTGCCCCCACCCAGCGAGTGGGTCAGCTGGAAGCCCTGCAGGCAGTCGCAGTTCTCACACTCCTTCCGCACCACGTCCAGCACGGAGTCCACCAGCTCGGCCCCCTCCGTGTAGTGCCCCTTTGCCCAGTTGTTCCCGGCACCGCTCTGCCCTGGGAAAAGAGGCTCCGATTGCCATTGGCTCCCCACACCCTCGCCAGAGGGCTCTGGGGAGGGGATCCGGGCTGGGACTGGGTGCTGCCGCCGGCAGCACTGGGAGATCTGACGCCGGGGTGGGGTGGGAAGTGGGAACCGCAGAGGTTTGGCGGTGTGCCGGAGGTGCCAGGCCCTGCGGCGCGGGAGGGGAGTGCCTGCTGAATGCCCCAGGGATGGCAACAGGTCGGGCGGGGCAGGGGACTCAGGGGACTGGAGGGGACACGGGGGGCAGTGTCCTCCTCCCTCCTCAGGGACCTACCAAAGATGAAGTTGTCCGGGCGGAAGAGGTGGCCGAAGGCGCCTGAGCGCACGCTGTCCATCGTCCCTGGCTCCAGGTCCACCAGGATGGCACGAGGCACATACTTGTGAGCTGAGAGAGACCCCGTGAAGGGAGGGTATCTGCTGCCACCCCACCCCAACCCCCAGGGGTGTCTCCCAGTACCCTGTGGGGTCCCATGGGGCTGGGCACACAGATTGTGTCCCCCCACAAATCACAGGGTCTCACGGAGTGGATGCATGTCTCAAGCCCCACCCAAACCACAGGGCCACATGTCTGCCCCCCCGGCCCCCAACCCCCTGGGGTGGGAGCATGTGTCATGTCATATCTCCCCCCACACAACAGGGTCCTACAAGGTGGGTGCAAGTGTTGCCCTCCCTCCAAACCACAGGGTCCCATGGGGCTGTGTGCACATGTCATGGCCCCCCCCACACCACAGGGTCCCACAGGGATGTGTGCATATGTTATGCTCCCCCCCAAATCACAAAGTCCTATGGGGCTGCATGCACATGTGCACCCTGCCTCCCCCAAACCACAGGGTCTGACGAGGTGGGTGTGCACCAGGGTCCGACAGGGCTGGGGTAAAGGTGTTGCGTGTGTCCCCACCCCGTAAATCACAGGGTCCAATGGGGTGGGTGTACATCTTGTTCCCCTCCCAAACCACAGGGTTCCATGGAACTGGGTGCACATGACTCCCCTCCTACAACCCTGCAAACCACAGGGTCTCATGGGGTGGGTGCCCTCCTAGACCCCCATGGGGTGGGTACCTCTATCTCCTCCCCCTCCCTGCCCCAACAGTCCCAGCTCCTGCTGCACTGGGGGGTCAGACTCGGGTGCCCCTCTGCAGCCCAGGGTGGGGATTCCAGGCTGCCCTTCCAGGGGGTGCAGGGGGGAGTCGCTTACAAGAGGCCTCATTGTAGTAGACACTGATGCGCTCGAGCTGCAGGTCCGAGTCCCCCACGTAGTTGCCACTGGGGTCGATGCCATGTTCATCGCTGATCACCTCCCAGAACTGGGAAGGACAGGGGGCTCAGCAGGGTGGGGTACACTGAGACACCCCAAAAACCCCGGGCAAGGCAGGGAGCAGCGGGATCCCCCCATCCCTGGCCAGGACTGGGCAGAGCAGTGGACACTGGGACGCCACAAACACCCAAATCCCTGAGCAGGGTGTGGTAGGGGCATTAGGATCCCCCAAACCCTGGTCAGGGCTCAGCGGGGCGGGGGACACTGGGATTCCCCAAGCCCTGGTCAGGGCGTGGCAGGGGCATTGCGACCCCCAAACCCTGGCCAAGGCAGAGCAGGGTGCACCAGCACCTCCCAAACCCCGGGAGGGGCTCAGCAGGGCGAGTGGCACCGGGAACCCCCAACCCCCAGTCAGGTGGGGCAGAGG